TCATTGTTGTGATATTGTACATGACGTCCTCCGCCCCAGAACGTTTCCGCCGTTCATGGTTTTGGGGTGTGACATGTACGCTAATCGTACACGCTATATGGCTTGTACGCTGCACGTACGAGCTTGTACGCCCAACGTACTCACCCATTAAGCTATTTCTCCATTAAGGTCTTAATTACTTAAGTCCAAGGGTCCCACTCATAGATCTGAGTCATATGCAACATCTTAAACCATAAAGTCATAAATTTTGTGGCTCTGCATGCCCCAAATGAACCCAAACCCGCAATACAACACTCTACTTCCATGACATGAACTCAAACTTAAGCATGGATGGTTCTACGCTTCAAAGATGGAAACTTTATGACTCTAAACCCAAAAGAACACAAGAGTAGCAACTCTAAGATTTAGAAATGACAATAATCCATAAGATCTCATTTATGGGACCAAAAGGGTCTAAAAACTCAAACAAAGGAGATCTAAGCTATAACAAAACAAGTTTTGAGCTTTATACCTCAAATGAGTGCCAAAAGATGATGATAACCTAAATCTTCAAGCTCAAGCTCAAACAACTCTTCTTCACTAACTTCTTTTTCTTCTTTCCAAGGCACCAAACTACCAAAATCCACCCCACAAGGTCAAGAACACACCAAGATGCTATAGGGTTCAATATAAGGGTTTCTGGACAATAGAGGCTGATAAGGAGGCTAAAAATTGGGACTTAATGACATTATATATGGCTTGAACCCTAGAAATTAGGGGTTTTGAGTCTGATCACGTATGCTGCATGTACGTGCATGCCTCCACGTTCCATATCATCCATCTACAGCCCGCGTACACCAGGCTTACACCAAACGTACAACCTCGACTAAGCCCACTCATAAAGGCCAATCCTTTAAGCCCAAAACAACTTACATGATATTGAAAAATAAATAAATAAATAAATAATACCTTAGAACCATTAGGTGTTACAATTCTCCCCTCACTTGGATCAGACTTTGTCCTCGAAGTCCACTGCCCCGAACAACTCTGGATAGTGCTCCTTCATCTCCTCCTTAGGCTCCCAAGTCCACTATGATCCCTTGCGATGCTATCACTGGATATTCACCAACTCGATTACCTTGTTCCTCAAGGTATTCGTCTTTCGATCCAAAATCGCCACCGATCTCTTAAAATAATTCGGGCGGTCATCCACCTGATTATCCTCCAATGGTACCACTGCAGAATCATCCATCAAGCACTTCTGTAGTTGGGAGACGTGGAACGTACAATGAATCTGACTAAGTTCGATCGGAAGATCCAAGCAATACGCAACCCGGCCTACCCGACCCAAAACCCTGAATGGACCAATATACCTGGGGCCCAACTTGCCCCACTTCTTGAACCGAATGACACATTTCCAAGGTGACACCTTTAGGAGAACTATATCTCTTACCTGGAACTCTAAGTCTGACCGACGTCTGTTGACATAAGTCTTCTTCCGACTCTGAGCTATCTGAAGCCTGCTCCGAACCTGCTGAATCAACTCAGTGGTCTTGAGTACCACCTCAGTACTCCTCATAACTTGCTGATCGACCTCTCCCCAACAAATCGATGCCCTGCATTTTCTCCCATAGAGCATCTCAAAAGGAGGTCGATCAATGCTAGTGTGATAACTGTTGTTATACAAAAATTCCGCTAACGAAAGATACGTATCCTAACTCCCACCAAAATCCAACACACAAGCACACCACATATCCTCAAGAGTCTGAATAGTCCACCCACTCTGACCATTGGTCTGCGGATGAAATGTTGTACTAAAATAGAGATGAGTGCCCAAATTGTCATGAAACCGCTTCCAAAACCTGAAAGTTAAGCAAACATCCCTGTTTCAAACTACTGATACAAGCACCTCATAACGTGTCACTACCTCCCTGATATCAATCTCGGCCAACTTCTCTGTAGATATACTCTCATGGATCGGAATGAAATGCGTGCTATTGGTCAAATGATCCACGATGACCCATATAGAATCAACTCCGCGCGCAATCCTAGGAAGTTTTGTGATAAAATGCATAATGATGTCTTCCCATTTCCATACGGGAATCTCTAACGGCTGCATCTTGCTGTGCGGTTTGCTCGGCCTTGAGGCATTAAGAGCAAAACAAACAGGCCCTTAGTCCAACAACATAAACAAAATTCGGACTGAGGGCACTTATACTATCTACACATTTTTTTCAAAAATTCAACCTACTCTAATGTAAAAAAAAATCCATTGGGGTCATTTCCCCTACCTTGAAGGTACGTCCGCCACTGGATGGTAGCCACACTGGATTCAATTAGCTTTGATGGTTCGTATTGAATACGAGGTGAAAATCCTCATATCACATATCTTTTTTCTCGTTGTTTCATATCTATTTCAGCTCGTATTAATCTCTTGGTCATTTCCCAAAACAACCCAGATAGAAAAAGGTTTAAAGAAAACGTGATGAGAAGATTGAGATTTATGGGATGTTTGTGAAAGATTTAAACCGCATCTTAGTCATTGAGTTGTTTCCGACAAAATACACACTGCATGAAATGAAAAAAAGAAAAAAAAAAGAACATATATTGTATGTCAAGGATAATATTCATAATCAAATACAAAAAACGCTAAATATGTGTTTTTACAAGGAACTTAACATGAGATTTCTAGTTGTGTTGGACGACAGCTGTGGTAGACAAAATAGACCAAACTGGAAGAAAATAGAACCACTAATATTGTTTGTACAACCATATTTTACTAATTAGATTGACTTTTTGTTTTAGTTAAAGTCAATCAAATGTTTATATAAAAAAAGGAATTAAAATATTATTTCTTTACAGTACTAATAAAAAGGTTAAACGAAATAAAATCAAACTAAAGTGGTTTTTTTTTCTTTAAGAGATGGTAGTTCTTTTTTTCTTTTTCTTTTAACTTTTTTATTATTATTTTTTTACATGAAAAATCTTCTAAATCTTCCAAGACTTTGTAACCCTAAAAAACCAATTTTTTTTTCAAACTTCATTCTTCCACTACCACCTTTGCCACTACTATCACATAGACTACCTCTTTTGTCACCGCTACCACAAACACCACCACCGCCTTTGCTACCTCAACCACCACCACCTCTACCAACTATGTTGCCGCCACCATCACTACCTGTACAACTACCATCACCCCTGCCAACTCGATCACCACCATCACTTCCTTCGTCACTACTTCTACCATTCTGTCATCATCCATTGCTACCGTTATTGCAACCAACACCACCACTTTTTATCACCTCCAATACCACAACCTTTGCTACTGTCACCACCACCACATCCACCCACTTCGTAGACACTACTACCACCACTATCCCAACTATTTTGCGCCAACTTCTTTTTCCTATTTTTACGATGGTAATAACCAACAAAGAAACCAATCATGGGGGTTTGAAATTAACTTTTATGGCAAGAATTAATGAGTTGTGTTTCAAAAGGCAAAAAACGTAATTTTTTATGACTATTACCTTCTTAAAAAATAAATTACCTTTAAAAGTCAAAAAATATTAAACAAACATTTTTTAAAACTAACTTTTGATTTTTATCCCTTCAAAAGTAAAAAAGTTCTTTTATAAAAAAAACTTTTTAGCTTAACAAACAATCCCAAACAACCCCTTAATATTTATTGTTTAACAACTTCAAATTGTTTTTGAGGAATGAATCAACTTTGTACACCCTATTGGGAATGGAAGACGACTGCTAGTTTCTTAGATTAATTTGCGCTGCAAGGGTGATTTTTGGTAAATTATATTGAGTTTAATGTATCTTGTTCAATGAGTATTAATGTATGTCCCTCTACTATTGCTTTTGCTACTAAAAACACCATTTTTTAGTTTATGAACAAGATTTTGAAAATCGATTAAGAATTGTATAATCATTTAGAGATTTATTGTTACCTGGTTCATATAAAATATTAGAGTGTTGATGAAAATGCGTTGATGAAGATGATCATAAATAATATTTTCTCTTAACAAGTAAGAGATAAGAAACTCCATGCCTAGATTTTTTAGTTTTTTATTTGGCTTCCATAAAAACTGTGATTGCTATAGGTTTTAGTAGACCGTAATTGCTATAGTTTTTAGGGTTTTATTTATTTATTTATTTTGAAGTGACAAATGTAGATTTGTGAGATGAACAAAGGGTAAAGCTCGATTTTATGAAATATGAAATATTGGAGATGAACAAAGAGTAAATTTGGATTAAATTTTTGGAGACGGATAAAGATTAAAAAGTAAGACTTGATTTTCTAGAATTTTCAAGCTTAAGTTGCTTTTGCTTTGAACTTGTGTAACGTTCGTTAGTTCCGAACATAGGGTATCAGCCGAAGATTTTGATAGTGGTGGTCTTGTCAGAGAAGACAGAGGAAGTCGAAGAAGATATATAAGTAGGGGGTGTCAATTTATGAAATGACACGGCAAAAATACATGCCATGACATGAACCAATATTGGTACGAAATTAAAATTCGAATTCATGTTTGTGTCAAGTGTAAAAAACACGAATTCGTTTTCGTGATTATTATGCTATATGTGATTAAGTATGAATTAAAAAACTAATAATTGAATTGTTTTATGCTTATCATGTTTTAATCGACTCGTTTTCGTGTTAATAAAAATAAATACATCATCATGTCACGATGTGTTATATAAAACCTTATCGTGCTGTATCAGATAAAAACACAACACAAATATAAAATTTAACACCGTTATAGATAAGGCGAGTGGGGATGGGGTGTAGGGTGGGGTGGAGATGAGATATGGTGGGTCCCGTTTTAGTTTTATATCATTAAAATTGCAATTATTTATAGGAAAAAGAAAAAAGTTATTGAAAAAGGTAAAAATAACCTAGTCTTTTTAACTTTTCAAAGTTTGGACTAAAAATACAAATATGAGCAAACCATATGGACCAATTTACTCAAAAAGAAAATATATTACAATTATTTATTATGTAATTCAAACCAAAATAATATAATCATAAAAATCGGAAGGAACTCCTTCCAACCACTCCCATTGACACTACAAATAATCATCCTCTCTTCTCAGTTGTAACTGCTACAATTCATTTCCTTCGTCTGTTCATCAGATCTACTCTCGTTCTTTTCTTTTGCCCAAAATCTTCCATTCTACCTGGAATTGGGGTTTCCGATATACAGAAATGAAGGAAGATTCGCCAAATGATTTGGAGAAAAGCTATTTCGACGTGTTGGGTTTATGTTGTTCGTCGGAGGTGTCACTGATCGAGAAGATTCTTAAACCTCTCGACGGCGTTCACCATGTCTCCGTCATCATTCCTTCCAAAACTGTAATTGTGCTTCACGACGCCGCCTTGATTTCTCAATTTCAAATTGGTAAACTCTTTCTCTCTCAGGCACACTAAATGTATACATCTGTTTGAGAATTAGACTTACGATTTTCATTTTAAGCGTTGAAGGAATAGGTTCAAAAGCTAAAACTGATTTGGTTTTTGTTTTCATGATTAAAAAGATCCGGTTATATATGTACACTCAAACACGTTTCTTAACTTTTTGAGACTTTTTCTGTGGAAAAATACCACTAACGGAAATTTGAGAATTTTAGTGTATTTTAAGGAGTTGAAGTTTTTTACAACTTGTTTTTTCTTTTTTTTTTTTTTTTTTTTTTTTTAATTTTTTTTTTTACAATTTGTAAAAACGAATATGTAAAAAAAAAAATAATAAGAATTTACATATTTACCATTTTACATTAATGAAAATGTATATGGAAAGAAAATTAGAAATGAATTTGTAAAAAAATTCAGTTGTAAAATCTAAAAACATATTGAATAAAGTTGAACACAATAATTTCTTTATACACAATTTCTAGAGTTGAACGATACAATACTTTAATGCATATGCATAAATTGATGTGGATGTAAAAAATTTGTACTTTACGGTTTCCATTTGTGAAAGGATATTGTGATAAAAGTTGTAAAAACCTTGTAAAAGAAGTTATAAAAATATTTTTTAAAAATTGTAAAAATTTAATAAACTTGTAGAAACCAAATTATAAAAGTAAAATTTAAAAAGGTTAATATAAGTTTTATATTTGGAAAACATATGAAAAACTCAAATTTATCAATAAACTATCTCAAATAAATTTTAAAAGTTTAATGATCTCACCAAACACTATATTATGGTAAGTTGCATAATTTAAAAAAAAAATCTAATTTATAAACTTCTTTAAAAAATCTATTTGTCTGTGTCTGCGGACCAAGCGAGAAAATATCAAACAAATTACAAACGATTGTGTATAGAGAAAATAGAGTACCATTATTTTATAATTTATATTATATTAAAATAAATAGCTGAGATCATCGAGTTATTGAACACTAGTAATGTTGTTAAGTAATAGTCAATAGATATATTATATGTGACGTGATCAAATATCTAAATTTGAAAATATATATAATTAGTCCTTGGCTTTTTTTCGTATGGGTCATACACAACTTTTTGACTTATTTGAAAGTTGTATAATGTATATTGATCAATTCTATTTTACAGAGAAATAAATAATTACACTTGTAAATTTAGAATCTAAGTTATACCATCTCCAATACACTTTATTTTTATATTCTATCTTTAATGTGTAAAACAGAGTTTACATTATTTGTAACACTAAAAAAATACAAACGTATAAAATTTGTTTTTCTAAATTATTAAGAAAAATACTAGATATTAATAAGTCTGAAATATAGAAATCAAATTAAATTTACATGATAAATTAATATCTATTTAATTTATAATATAATATCATAACAACAATATTGAATAGAGACTATTATTATACAAACAATAGATAAAAGTTGAAGAAATCCCAATTTATATAGTTGAACTTTGACATATTTGGTGTTAATAAATAGCACAATACAATATTTGGGTGTTGTATATTCACCAACACAAATTTTGGTGTAACTTTTGAATTTGGGTTATACAAAAAAAATCGTATTAAAATTTCCCATACGACAGTTTACTTATGTATTAAATAAATGATAATTATTTCTTTTTTCTCTTTACCCTTGTTTAATTTAGTTAAGGCGCTAAACCAAGCAAGATTAGAAGCAAACGTAAGGATGAAAGGAGTTCAAAGCTACGGAAACAAGTACCCAAGCCCATACGCCGTCGTTTGTGGTGTCCTCCTTTTGCTATCATTTTTGAAATATTTTTATTCTCCATTTAAATGGTTAGCACTTGGAGCTGTCGCTGTTGGCGTTATACCCTTAATTTTGAAAGCTTTGGCATCACTACGAATTTTCAGATTCGACATCAATCTTCTCATGCTCATTGCAGGTATAACACATTTTTATTTATGAATATGAAATTTTATGGATCATATAAAATTTATAAATTCCATAATTAATAAATCATCTTTTATATGTTGCAGTCGCAGGATCCATTGTCCTGAAGGATTACTGGGAAGCAGGCACAATTGTTTTCTTATTAGTTATATCCGAATGGCTCGAGGCTAGAGCAAGTCACAAGGTTTATATAATTACATAACCCCCCCCCCCCCCCCCCCCCCTCCTCTCAAAATGAATATTCCACATTAATATTTAAAAAACAAAATGATATGAATTTTATATGTATAGGCGACTGCTGTGATGTCATCATTAATGAGCATAGCTCCTCAGAAGGCTGTATTAGCCGACACTGGTGAAGAAGTCAACACTAGCGAAGTCAAAGTCAACACAAGACTTGCGGTCAAAGCCGGGACCATGATCCCCATTGATGGAATAGTCGTGGAAGGGAAATGTGAAGTCGATGAAAAAACCCTAACTGGTGAATCGTTTCCTGTTGTTAAACAAGTAGACTCCATCGTTTATGCAGGGACACTCAATCTAAATGGTATGCAATCATTCTACATATCTGTATATATATATATATAGATATATTTTTTAAAGATATTAATTTAATTCGGGATTTTTTATTTTTATTTTTTTATTTCAGGTTATATTAGTGTTAAGACTACTGCTCTAGCTGACGATTGTGTGGTTGCAAAAATGGGAAAGCTTGTTGAAGAGGCTCAAAATAATAAATCTAAAACTCAAAGATATATAGATGAGATAGCCAAGTATTACACCCCTGGTAAAATTCTGTTATTTATATTTTCTTTTATGTTTCTAGGGATTTCTCGTTAAATATTTTGTTTGTGGTTTTTGGGTTTTGTAGCTGTTGTTGTGGTAGCTGCCAGCTTGGCAGCTATACCAGCTGCTATGAGAGTTCGTGACGTGGAGAAATGGTATCACTTGGCTTTGGTGGTTTTGGTAAGTGCATGTCCGTGTGCACTTATCTTATCAACTCCAATTGCAGCATTTTGTGCATTGTCAAAAGCAGCTACATCCGGACTTTTAGTCAAAGGCGCTGAATACCTTGAAATACTTTCTACTGTCAAATTTATTTGCTTTGATAAAACCGGAACAATCACTAAAGGAGAGTTTTCTGTCTCAAGCTTTAAACCGCTCATTCACAATGACAAATTGCTATATTGGTAAATTAGTTTTATGATTTCCTACGCGTTCGGAACTTTTTTTTTTTTTTTTTTTTATTTAATTTTTTACTTAATTAATTTGATAAGGGTTTCGAGCATCGAGAGCAAGTCGAGTCATCCAATGGCTGCGACACTTGTGGATTATGCGCAGTCTCATTCAGTCCAACCACAACCAGACAATGTGGAGGAATTCAAAGATTTTCCTGGTGAAGGAGTTTACGGGAAGATAGATGGGAAAGATGTTTATATCGGAAACAAAAGGATCGCCATTAGAGCAGGCTGTTCACAAGGTGAAAATCAATAATTAATTAATTAATTATTCGAAATTATATTTCTGTTGTGTAATGTAATTCTTGAACAATTAATATTCTCAGATCTTATCGGTGATGAAAGGAATGAAGGGAGGTCGACAGGGTACATATTCGTAGGGTCTTCACTTTCCGGAATCTTTAGTTTGTCAGATTCATGTCGAATTGGAGTACGTGAAGCACTCCAACAACTCAAATCAATGGGAATTAAAACCGCCATGCTCACCGGAGACTCTCAATCCGCCGCTAATCACGCACAAAATCAGGTAATTCAAAATCAAAATTCCCTTTTTTTTTTTTTTTCCATTTCTTTCGACTCAATTTCTGAATTCACAGTTAGAAGAAGCATTAGACATGGTCCACGCAGAACTTCTCCCACAAGATAAAGCCAGAATCATTAAAGAAATCCAAAAGGAATCCCCTGTAGCTATGGTGGGAGACGGGATGAACGATGCTCCTGCTTTAGCCACAGCAGACATCGGGATCTCAATGGGGGTGTCAGGATCCGCATTAGCAAATGAAACAGGACACGTGATTCTGATGTCAAATGATATCCGGAAAGTTCCGGTAGCTGTAAGGCTTGCGAGAAGAACACGTAGAAAGATATTTGAGAACATTTTCATTGCTATGGTTACTAAAGCTGCTGTTATCGCATTGGCTATTGCTGGTCACCCGCTCGTTTGGGCTGCAGTTCTTGCTGACATGGGAACCTGCTTACTTGTCATTTTCAACAGCATGCTTCTGCTACGAGGTACAAATTCAAAAAACAGGAAAAAGAATTCGGGTTCTTTACAGTGTACATTTAGTTCTATGGTTGAAGAAAAATGTTGTGATGTGGGTGGTGGTTGTGATTTAAATGTTAAAGACGACTGTTGTAGTTCAGAGGTTGAGGAAAGTTGTTGTGATGGTGGTGGTTGTGGTTCAGAGTTTAAAGCCAAATGTTGTGATGTGGGTGGTGGTTGTAGTTCAGAGGTTAAAAAAAGTTGTTGTGATACGAGTGTTGGTTGTGGTTCAAAGGTTAAAGATAATTGTTGTAGTTCAGAGGTAGAGATTAAAGAAAGTTGTTGTGATGGTGGTGGTTGTGGTTCAAAGGTTAAAGACAATTGTTGTAGTTCAGAGGTTAAAGAAAGTTGTGATTCAAAGGTTAAAGATAAGTGTTGTGATGTGGGTGGTGGTGGTCCTGATAAAAATGTACGAGAGGAGAAGCGATTGGTACAAGGAAAAGGAACACACGGGTGTTGTGATGACGAGAATGACGAAATACAAGAGGTAAAGCCAGTGGTACAATCATGTGAAGCAAAAATGTCCATACAAGAAACAAAGTGTTGTAAGGTAAACAAAGATTTGGAATCACAGATTTGCGTTAAAGAGCAAGGAGAATGCAATAATAGTAATTCCTACATCAAGTTGGAGAAAATGGTTAAAAATTGTTGCAGGAGGCGTGGCTTGAAAAAGAGGAATGTTGTCAGTAGGTGTTGCAAGAGCTTTGCATACAAATGTTGTCGGTATGGACGCTTATCAGAGATTGTGATCGAGTAAATGCTTTCCAAGATTCCCCACTTATACATATGTATATAACGTGTACCATTTATATGTATATAGGCCTTTGTATTTGTATTATAGTAATAACGTTTCTATGTATTTTGTATTTGCATTCAAGTTATGACATTTCTATGTATAGTAGCTTTTGTATCTATATTCAATATTATAAATGATATGTTAGAAATTGGTTTATAAACTCACACCATCATTATTATCGAAATTACTTGGGGTTTACATTTTTCGATTGAAAGAAATAGTGATGAGAACTGTGAACATGGGATACAATACAGCAAGACCGTGTAGTTTGGCTATTGAGAACAAACATTACTATGTAGACCTTAATTATTGTATTAAGGCAATCAGACAAAATACAAATCCTAGAATCAACAAATAAAAACACTCCATCGACAATTTGTACATGGTGGTGTACTGCCTTTGAATTTCTTTTCCTAACCTTGGTTGTGATTTGTTTTTATCGTTCTTAGTTTTAATCTAAGAAGTGTTGAAGGTTTGTGGTTTTAATTATAACATGGTATTATGGCTTTGGGCGAAGCTTTGATTCCGATTTCATTTTGATTTTTTAGTTTTACAAAAACTGACTAGGGTTTATAGTGTTCATTTATGATATCTTATTAACTCTAATCGTTTGGTTAAATCAAATGTTTCTTCGTTGTTCTGTGAAAGATTGGTGGCATCCGGAGTTGGAGTTTAAGAGCAAGTTAGGGTTTTTACATCTCTCTTGGGTAACATTCTTTGTCTAGTTTATTCGGTTTCTTCATTGATCTAAGAGTTTGTGTAAAAATCATCGGTGAGCAAGGCTAGGTTGTTATTGTTTACTTTTGTTGTTTTCTAGGTCTAGGTTTACTATTTATAAGGCCTAACTTCGAGTTTATATGGTCTATCATTTGCTTTGAAAGTTCAAATTAATTATTGAACTTTTATCTATTCGAGATTGATTTCGGTTTTTCATGCTTATTTTGCATCATAATCTTTGTAAGTCTTCTATATTGAACATCTCTATGTCGTTGATCTTTATGTAACACTTGATATTGTTTTGGAGCACCGTAAGTCTCTCTCTCTCTCTCTCTCTCTCTCTCTCTATATATATATATATATATATATATATATATATATATATATATATATATATATATATATATATATATACTACTTAGGTGTTCTTTTGTTTTTTCAAAGCGAAAACGCTTAAAGGTTGCAGACCACATCTGCAATCTTCTGCAGAAAGGGTGGACCAAACGGCCGCAACCTTTAATAAGAAATTTGTTTGTTTTTTAATATTTGCATGATGTTACAATAAACTGAAATTAAAATAAATTGAATTTACGAACTTAAAATAGTTTCATACTACAATAATTGTTCTAAGAATACACGTCCTAGACACCATATTACAAGTGATTTTTTTTGTTAAACATATTATATTTATTCATTTAAATTATATTTAATTTTGCGGTTGTTAATCAAGTTGTTGTTTAACATATAAGATATGCCACATATTTAGAGCAAATATAGAAATCATTTTAATGATACTATTTATCTACACCACATCGAATAAAACCGATTCAAATGTTTCTTATTTGAATTTTCAATCGTTGACTTTTAAATTTGATACCAAAATAAAATTCGACTAAAAATATTTTCTCATTAAAAAGACTCTAAATCAAAATTTTATTTAGTTTTCATCATATGTAAATCGAATATAAAAATCATTGATATGATTTTTAACAACGTTGGTATAAAATAATTACATAATGATTGCTAAATAATAATAAATAAAATTGTTAATCTAGCAAACAACATGTTTATTTTGTTAAATTTTCTAAGACGATGGTTATTTAATCGGCTAGCTTTAATAGATTTGGTCGTTCTAGTGATTAAATTTATAATTTATCAATATTTGGTTATAAACAATGTAAGAAAAAACTATTTATATGAAATTTACCAAATAGTTTTGAAAATATGTAAAGTATACTTGAGTTGTTTATAATATTCTTCGTAATATAATTAAAATAATAAACATATTGTTGAAAAAAGAAAAAACATCATAAATGGTCCCTTTGTTTTCCAGAAATCTGACATATAGTCCTTAAGTTTAAAAATCTCACAAATGGTCCTTGTGCTTTCAAATTTTTTGATGTTTTGTCCTTATTGTTCACTCCGTCATATTTTGTTAGTTAAGTGAAGGACATTTCCGTTATTTCACTACAACAGAGACCATTTATGAGGTTTTCTCTTATTTAAAAAAAAAAGAAAAAATGAAACTTAATATGCAAGTGATCCCACCCCATCTCTCTCTCTCTCTCTCTCTCTCTCTCTCTCTCTCTCTTGATCTTTATAAGCATCCTAGAACCCATCATCTGCAAACGAGTTGAACCAATCATCTGGATATGTTCCTCAACATCACTAACACATAGAAACTAAAATCTATTGGCAGATTAAAGGGAAAAACAATATGAAGAAATAGATTGTCTGATTAACTAAAAAAGGTCTTAACTTGATCATGATGGGTCAAAATCCTAAGAAACTAGATGCCGTTTCCTCTGAGATTCAATTCAAATTTTTAAAAACCCAATGTCGTTTTTGATCTTACCGGTAATTTACTTCGCCGTCGTCATCAATCTCATTAGATCTCTCTCGCAATACTCATTATCGTCATCAATCTCATTGGATCTCTCTCACAAATCTTTAAAACCCAGCTCATGGGGGAAATCGCTTTGGAGAAATGTGCAATGGCGGATCCAGTCCGAAAGTTGAGTGGGTGCATAGTTGACCGTTGACCAATTGAAATTAATAATAATATTTTTTTTTACGAAGAAGTAGAATAACATTAAAACCTTCAACTAAATGTCATTTTAAAGTTGAAATCTACGAGGACACATAGCTAAGAAATGTTTGATAATATTTTCATTTGTAATCTTTGAAAATCCTTCTCTTTCAACCGCACAAATGACACAATCATTTAGAAAATCATCCGAAATCCGATTCTGCAAATCCGACTTTACAAGCTTCATCGTAAAAAACATCTCTCCACCGTTGCGGTTGCAACCGGCAAAACCAATGACAATTTCACTAAACGATAAATCAAAGGAAAGAACTGATGCATCTTGGTTTCCACCATCACTTTAGCAAGGTTGGATATGTTCTTCAAAGCTACAAATCTTCCATCTTGTTGCATATGATTGGGGTAAACTGAAAGTTCATTTAGAATATCCAACCTATCTTTATAGCTAAAATCATGTGGATAGAAATTGATCAACTTCCGTAACTTTGATGGGTCAAAGTCACAAAATGAATCATGTGGATTCAAACACGTCATACAGATAAGCAATTCGAAGCTTACTTCATTAAAACGATCACCGAACTCTTGAATTTGCATATCCAAAACCATGTTAAAACAAAAAAAAACTCATAATAACGATGATTCGAGATATCCAACATGTATCTCGGGCTCTAGTAAGAGAAAGTTCTTGGTTTAATCCACTTCTAGTTTCAATTTCACCACGTCCGATGGATTCTTCTAGTTTATCATTTTGACTTTCGCGCATCATATATGTACGTTACAAGAAGCACACACAACATTCATTAGAACAAATACCATATCAAAAAAGATTCCAACATGGTGATGTTTTTTTGCAATGACTAGCTGAAGTTGGTGAGCAAAGCAATAAACACAATATGCAGACGTATTTTCTCCCATTATTCAAGCTTTTAAACCATTAAAATTCCCACTCATATTACTTGCTCCATCATATCCTTGATCCCTGATCTTCGTCAAACTCAATCCATATTCAGAAAATAAAGAGTCAATAGCAGATTTTAAAGACAATGTAGATGTATCATTCACATGAACAAGACCAATAAACCGTTCTTTAACAATCCCACATGTAACATATCGTAAAACCACTGCCATTTGCTCCTTTTTAGATATATTGCTGGATTCGTCAACAAATAAAGCAAAAACAATATCACCAATTTCTTCAAAAATTGATTTAAGTACTTCTTGTGCAAAACAACGAGCATTGTCTTTTTGAATACATGGAGCCACCATTTGATTGTTCCTCGGAGCATTTTGTAACGTAACTTTCCATACACTCTCATTTTGATCCCGAACCAAATTCAATACTTCTAAAAAATTTCCTCTAAAAAGAGACATTTCAAACTCATCGTGACCACGAAAAGGCAATGCACAATTTAATAAACATCTAGAAGTATCAATGGAAGCATTTAATCGGATTCGATGTTCATTCCTTATAGCATCATATTGTTTATGAAAAGCAGTGGCAATAGATTGATTTTGTCTCATCAAATCTTCACATTTTTTAAGAACTATGGAATAGGAACTAGTGAAATTACCTTCATGAGTTTTAAGTCTTTCCGGTTTATTCCAACAGCTAAAACCTTCTGTTACAAAAGCATCACCGCCGCCACTTTTACTTGTCACATCTTTAATGAAATAACAATACAAACAAAAGGCTTAATTTGTTTTTCTACTATACTCCAACCATTTACTACATTGACGATGATCAAACCAAGCCGGATTGAAACGCCTTGTCCTACCTCCTATATTTTTTGTTGGAAATGTATGATCACGTGGTTGACAAGGTCCTCTAATAAAATATTTTCACCTTATTTCATCTCTTTGATTAAGGTGATAATCTGAAAAAAAAATTCTATCACATGGATCCCAAGGAGTTTCACTTAAATCAATTTCAATCGTCACCGATGGAATAGAGCTAGATTGAGGAATGTCATTGGAAGCAATCCCGGATGAAGATGCATCATCGATTGATATCCATCTTTTTAGATATCTTTCCATTTATCTGTTAATAGAAATTAACAATTTATAATTTATTGATATAATAAAACTCAATTGGCAATCTATTATATTTAACTATGAAAGAAATCAAATTGATAATGCATACAGGGGACAAACGAACGAAACTATATATTATTTAAGTTTTTTTTTTCCCGCTAACAAT